TGTAGGCGTTTTTCAACAGAATAATAATCCAAACAACGTATGAGCAAACTTGAAGTCTCAAATTCTATAGTACTTTCCTTGTGTAAACATGAGTTAGTGTTGGTTGAAGTTGGTGCATGCAGCTTGTGAGATTTTCTACATAGCTATAAACAGTTAAAGCATTTTGAGCACAATAATCGTAAGCAACGTGTTTGCTAGCTAGGTGAAGTGTGGTTTCACTAACTAATTCTGCCAAAATGCACTGTTGATCCACTATGATTGTGAAGGAGATATTTGGATAGTACCCATCAAGGAAGTTCTAAATTGCCAATGAAAATATTCTACCAGACCATTAAGAAATGGGTGACATGCCGTAGTTCAAATGCCTGTTATCCAACAATGTCCGAGAGTTTCTTAAAGGTTATATTTTCATATTTTCGTCCTCTGCTGGTTCTTATTTTAGAAAGACATTCAAACTGCTTGATGTGTCTTTTCATAAAGACTCAGCAAACTGATTCCACTGGGGTATACGGCGTGGGAATAGCTTTCAGACGACAAGTGAACCGTTCTATACTAATTGATTGGTTTCAACATATAACCTTACACAGAAGTGAAGTAATTCGAGTTGCCACACTCCACGAAGAACACAGAAAAGATAAAATATAAAAAAGAGATTAGGAAGAACAAAGGAAGTCATGTCCCTTCTGAGATTCTTACCTGCGTCACCCAGTGCTGCAGTCAGAGACGTTACCACAGAGCTATTGGGGCTCGCGATTGACCTTCAAGGTTGCGGATACGCCTTGCTGGCGGGTGCCAACTAGCATGGAACCTAGGTCCAAGGCTTCCTGTGGCCGATTAACTCCAACTATCTAATATCATCAAATCAATGTGCACCGTGATGGCGAGCTGCCTATTGGAATGTTGGACACATTACAAACCTGACTGATAGAATTTAGTCTGTACCAAAGAAAGGACTAGACACGTCACACTATTTACTAGTGCCCAATAAATCCAATGAGTTTTTTCTGTACTATAAATGCCTTCCCGTAAGAATTTCTGTTTGGAATTAGATTGTAAATGGCTTCGTTTCTCATCGTAATAAAACATTTGCATTTCAAAAGGAACAAAAAAATAGCATATGTTTACATAATGAAATTCTCTATCACAGCTGTGTTGATTTTTTTCACTTCATCTGGGTGAGGGTGGTAGGACCAGGTCGAATTCTATCTAAGTCCATCATTCATTCCTATTCACACAGTTTGAATTCCATTTAGTAATGAAGCGCTTCTGATAATAGATGTTCTTTGTGATTTATGAAATTTTTCTGAATGACTTCCATAGTGTCAAGATCAATTTTGTGGCCTGATTCTATAGTGTAGTGTGTAGACCTATGGCTAGCTGATGGTTTTTTAAGCTTTTCTAGTTCAGTAACTGAATTTCTCGGTAGTTGAACAGATGTCCTATGATGTTCATTTCCTCTGAACTGATTTATATCAATACATGATTGAACTTGAAATAAATCAAATCCCCACAAACTAACTCTTGAAAGTTAGTCTGATGCTCATCCTAGTGACTGTCTGCAGGACGAAGTTGCCCGGAGTTCTAGTGAGAAGTCGTGACCAGTGATGGTTGGTTCTGTTATAATAAATGCACCCGTTTCCTTGTGAGTCAGGGCATAATTGCATGTATTAGCACTAGAATTACTACAGTTATCCATGCAGTATATATCATCTAAGGAACCAAGCTTATGTAATGAGCCATTCGCGGTTTCACTGTTTTAAGGTATGTACTTAGACTTGCATGGCTTCATTTCTGAGACAAGCATATGACTACTGGCAGGATTAACCAGTTTATTCAAACAGTGATACATCCATTGACTGGGTACTGGTTTTCAGGGAACCAAACACACCCATCTCTGCCTCTTGCGAGACGGGACCGGTATTCAGGATCATCCTGTGGCGCAACCTCGGTGGACCATTCGCACAGTTAGTATACATATTAGTGCATAAGTAAGCATTATTACGCCGATCATTGGTCGCATCAACAATTATGCACTGCATAGACAAGCCCAATAGAATTCATCTCGCATACAAAACCAGCCAAACGCATTATTATATGCAAAGTAGCACGCATAGCGACGCTATAGTGACAATAGGCCCTTATAAATGAAGCCAGCAGCCATCAAATTCAATGAAATCGTTATCCACCCGGTCGGGATTGAGGACATATACTCATGGTTTTATCTTTTCTACCTATAAAATATTACCATATGCTGAAGAAAGATGATTAATTCGGTTGGTATGTTGTATAAATTGAGATTTCGGCAAATTCTGATTTAACCATATACTTTGATAAAGCTATTAGCAGTATTAAATAGCGAAACGTCAATAAAACAATCAATCTCATCCAGTGTTTTTCATTTCTTGTGAAATTCAAGCATTTTTATAATAATGAATATTATATACCCAATGCTTATTATTTTTCAAACTATAATAATAACAATAATAGCTTTATTTTGTACACCGCTTATATGTTGTACATGATATTTTCTCTTCATCCAGATCTTTAAATAAAATACCACGTGACGTGGTAGACCACGTGAAACACTTTCGCCTGACATGAAGCGCATACCATAAAATTATGATCTCTCTAACTTTGCCTTCTTCGGTAAATGCATGTAATGGCAATGTTGCATGACAATTGGAAAAGTATCAGGAATCCATTCTGTGAACCAAGGAGACAATTCAAAGACAGCTATCTCTCATGCATTGCAATACACTCCAACCCACAGTTATGTTCAATTTCTCTCACAATAACTAGAAACTTCTGACTCAGCTAGTTGTAAGTACAGTAAATGCTAGCCAGAGTATTATTATGATTGTTCCTTTTAATTCCTGGAGGAACATCGGGTTTCAACCAAACGTCTCCATTCCGTTCGGTTCTCTGCCTAAATTTTCACCTGGCTCCATGTCTGCTCACATGCTTTCATCTCCTCTTCATATGACCTCCTCCATATTCCCTTACCCTCGCACTGATGACCAACTCGCCATTTCACATTCGGCTCCCATTCGAGTGATGGCCTGTCGTGTGGTGTCCCTCACTTGATGATTTGTTTTCTCAGAGTATAGCCAGCAAATCCACCTCCTTTTTTTCCTGCATATTTGCTGCACAGCTGGCTCCTTCTGAGTTGGTTCTCTCATTGACAGAGATCCCTGTTGCTGACCTTTCCTGGCCAACCATTTGATCTTGAGTATTGAGCGAAGACAGCTGTTGATGAAGATCTTTAGTTTGTTCACAGTGCTCTTCGTGACGCGGCGCGACGAGGCGCCAAGTCTCTGATCCATACGGTAAGTAGCACTGACTTCGCACTGTGGTTGAAAATCTGGATCTTGTATTTCATGCCGAGTGCAGTTGATCTATCTTCTCACAGACCTGAGAGAAATGAAAGCTCACCGTGTTTTCTCAATGATCCTCGCTTTGCTGATTTCCTCATCAGTTCCGTCGGCCTGTAGTTGAAACGATGCTTCCCAGGTAGGTAGGAAGGTTGCTTCTTTCAGATTTCTCACATTTAAAGTGGCTGATTGTTGTCTGTTGCTGTTGGCCAGGAATCTTGATCACCTCTGCTTTTTCTACTTCAGGTAAACACCTGAAGTTCTGTTCTCTCCGGATGCTTCTTCTGCCGACTTGTTGCTTTTCACTTGCGTATCTTCCTGTATGTGGAAAATCAGACATAAATATATCGCCGACGATGTCCAGATCCTCCAATTTTTTTGTGTGGGTCGATTTGATGCCTGTCTCCTTGTTATCCTCTGTGTATCTGTCGCATTATCAGGTCTGCCATAATCAGGAAAATTACTGGAGATAGTAGGCAGCTAGTTTCTCTCACTGCCGTCTTCACTTCGAAGGATTCCGTGAGTGTACCGTTGTGGATTACTTGGTGTGCAGGACTGTCGTACAACTGTTGGATGTGTATAATCGTTGGCGGCACCCCGTAGTAGTGGCGAAGTAGTTTCCGAACCACCTGTCAATTGCCACTGCGTTGCCGAAGGCCTTTTCAAATTCGATGAGGTAAAGTCAGGTAGAGAAGTGGCTGCCATTCCGAGCTCTGTTCATTGATGTTTCATAGTGTTGCGATTTGATCGATGGATGATTTGTTCCTCTTGAATCCGGCCTGTTCCGTCGAAGTTTCCATCGAGGTTGGCGTGTTCCATTCTCTCCAGGATAATGCGCTTATTATTTTTGTTGGTATGGACAGGAGTTTAATGCCGCAGCAGTTCTTGCATTGACCTTAGTCCCCTTTCTTTGTCATTTTGAATATGTAGTTTTCTTTCAGTCCGCAGGTACCTTGCCCTCTCGCCAGGGTATAAAATGTAATTAAAGGTTACATTTTATCAGATTTAAACAAACATAACGAGAGAAAATATCTGTGAAATATCGATGGGATTTTGTTTGTAGGCCTAAATTTAAGCAAATTGCCAATATTATTGAAGTGAACTCTGGTGACAGCAGGCTGCTAGCCAATTGGTAGACATTAATTTACATCAATGTTTATGTCCCCAATATTGGTCGTGAGAAAATATGAACAAGACTGATTCAACAATCAATCACAGCTGACTTTGCGTAGGCAGATACAATTAACACATAGATGATGTGACATTAAAGAGACAGTCACAAAGAAGTGCAAGGTCAACTTTCTGTGAGAAACAACCAATCAGAAGAGTGTGTTTGTTTGCTTGAATACACTATAATAATGTACATGAAAATGTTTAAATACGCGTTGATTTCCTTAATAAACGATCTTTTGCCTGACCCTTGTTTTCTTTTGTTATATATATATATATATATATATATATATATATATATATATATATATTCGTAAGAGTGAGTTGTAGGTTTTAAAGTTACTACATTTCGCTAAAAGTGAACACAAAAGTGATTATGTTTATTTCATCCTCACTGTAGCGAATTTCACACAAACGCACAAACACATGTACACACAATAAGTAGAAGAATTTTCAAGTGCGTAATAAATTTATTTTGATACTCTGAATAATATAATGAACATAAAAAGAAGTAGAAAATGAATTTCTAAAACTCAAATGTGAAAACTGCTTATTATTATAGAAACAAATGAATGAATATTCACAAGGAATGTATACGTATAATGGACAGATTTCGAGTTGAATGTCGAGAACAAACTGTCAAAGAGAAGAAGAAGAAGAAACCGTTTTGGTTATTATCAAAACTTGTTCAAACACTATCTATCCACATCAGCTTTATTATCTGTACAAATTCTCTGAATGATTATTATCTCGTTCAATTGTGTACTTAACTTAAAGGATTTTTTCTCTTTCCTTTTTCCGTCCTTTTACACTCCGAAATGAGTAAAGGGTTTCCAACTTGGAATGTTTCACGATTTTGCGTGTCATCCTTGCGCAGGGGCCATGCTAATCTTTTTCCAACTTGTGCCCTGTGAAATTTCACTAACCGGATATCGGGAGGAAGTTCGGTTTTTTTTTCATGGGATAGGACGATTACTAGCCCCGTTCGGCAGCCTTCCCTAACCCTAACCGGGTGTACTACTGACTAGTAGAGGTTTAGCAGTATGCCGGCAGGGAATCGAACCGAGAAACACACAGCAAAAAAAATGAACAATATACATATATATATGTATATCAGTAGTATCAGTCCCATTTTGCAAGAAAAATAATTTATTCATTTCACCTGGTACCGAAAATTAGATGAATCACAAAATTTTCTAATTACCAGTTGAAAAATTATTAAAGACATCTTTGAAAATAAAAAAAAGGGAAGAGCAGTGTTTTTCAGCAATAAACAAACGAAGATCCGCGAATAGATCCTTTATCATTTAGTTAAATTCTCGGTCCATTCGCCTCGGTTCATGCAAAAATCTGATTTTGTTATGTTAAAAACAGTGAGTAGTATAATTGTTTGTTTCAAAACAAAAGATGAAAATTATAATATTTAGACTCCTTTTTTTATTTTTTATTATTTTTTTTCGATCCTTTGGTATTTATAAATAACTTGATTCAGACAAATTGGTTATATTTTCTTCTGTTTCACCATCATTATTGGTTGTTGAACGTTTTTTACACTTTGAATTACAACAGATACTTAGTACAGAAGCAGAAGTACACTTGTTAGTGTCGGCTTCAGTCGGCTGATAGGAGAATGCTTCTCTTGGTAGTTTTTGTAAACGTTTTGCCGTAGGATATAAATATAAAGGATGTAGAATTAAACCAGTCAAGATGGCTACAACAATGAGAATATAATAACCGTCGATTAATTTAACACACGGTTTTATAGTATCAGTACAGTCCTGTTGTTGATATGAAAAAAAAGGAGAAAAAGAAAGGGATGTTGAAACAAAAAAAGAAAACTAGTCTTTAGTAGCATAGTAAACAATAAATATATAATGTCATTTAAGAATTTCAATGGTTCTCTAACTAATATCAATCCGTGGTCAAATTCGTATAAATAAATCAAATCCTTACAAATTAAACTCTTGATAATTAATATGATGCTCGCTAGTTACTGGCTACAGGATGTTGTTTCCTGGAGTTCTAGTGAGAAGCCGTGATCAGTGAGGTCAAGTGTTAAGATGAAGTTCTCACCGATGACATTGGTTGATGGTCACGCTAAATAAAGAATTGGTAGAAGTTAAAATTCATGGACTGGTCACTGAATGAATAGTTGGATGGTATACGAGCTTGCCTTGTGACCGGAAGGTCCTGGGTTCGACCATTGGCGGTGGGTGCATTATTATTATAATTTCCTTTAATTCCTAGAGGAGCATAGGGATTCAACCGCGTGTCTCCATTGCCTTTGGTTTTCTGCCAACGTTTTCACCCCGCTCCAAGTCTGCCCACACGCTTTCATCTCCTCTTCACATGACCTCCTCCATGTCACTCTCGCACTGACGACCAACTCACAGCTTCCCTTTCAGGTTCCACTCGAGCAATGGATTGTCTAGTGATGTCACTTGATGGTTTCCTCAGAGTATAGCCAATCGACCCCATTTCTTCCTGCCTATTTGTTGCCTATTTGTGTGCGTCGGTGGCATAGCGGTTAGTACGCTCGCCGACCATGCACATGGTCTGGGGTTCGATCCCCAGCCGACGCACTCCTTTACCTCGCTAAGCCAGAAGTAATGCTGGTAAAGAGGAAAAGTTGGGCATGAGGCTAGCAACCCCATCCTGTAAAACTAAGTACGTCTACAGAAACTTCAAGCCGCTGGCTTGAGGCCCTATGTTCCACTGGGAACGTGAAGGAAAATTATATATATATATATTTGTTGCACCAAAAGTTCCTGCTGGGTTGGTTCACTCCCAGAAATTCTTCACTATTGCTGATCTTTCTGGTCAGCCATCTCATCTTGAGTGGTATTGAGCGAAGACAGCTGTTGATGAAGGTCTGTAGTTTGTTCGAAGTGGCCTTCGTGACGTGACGCAGTGCCAAGACTCTGATCCGTATAGTAGCACCGATTTCACATTAAAGTTGAAAATCCGGATGTTATTTTTGATGCTGAGTGCTGTTGACCTCCACACAAACTTGAGAGTAATGAAAGCTTGTCTTACTTTTCCAATTCTCGCTTTGATATCCTAGTCAGTTCCGTCTGCCTGTAGTTGAAACGATGCTTCCCAGGTAGGTAGGCAGGAAGGTAGGTAGGTAGGTAGGTAGGTAAGTGGGTAGGTTGGTGAAGGAGGTTGTTTCTTTCAGGTTCATCACAATTATGCTAATTGTTGTCAATTGTTGTTGCTGCTGTTGGTGTTGGCCTGCAATCTTCATCACCTCTGTTTTCTCTATGTTCACCTGAGGTGAAGTGCTATCTTTGATGCTTCTTCTTCCAACTTGTTGCTTTTCACTAGCATATCTTCCAGTTTGTGGAAAATCAGACAGATATCATCGGCGGTGGGTGCATACTTCCGATGATTCTCAAACTAGGATGAAACAGCTGTTCAGAACTCTCTGGTATTTTAATGGTTCTCTAACTGATATCAATCCGTAGTCAATCTCGTGCATATACATAGAATGTATTTCCAAAATCTAGAAACTATAAATTTGTTGTTAGATGGCTGTAGAGGAATTTATCACATGAAGCCTTGGACTTTGAAAATATATCATCTAATCTTTACTCAGTCTCTACCTGAACAACTTATCAATTCTTGTATTGCCCAAGTTACACTTAAAGCACCAGTAAGTGCCAATACAGTCGGAGCGCACCAATGACCTTTAAATGCCCAGCAGTCATCAAGTTATTCAACCCAGGGAAATAACATTACAATCATGAATAAAGTATGCTTAGTAAAGTTTTATGTTACTTAATGGAATATCTGGTAAGTTTCGGGCTAGGTTTGGAAAAGATTAAGTTAAAGTTAAGGGGTTAGCTAACCTAAAAAGAGCGATATTAGTGGATTAGGTTGGCTTAAAGATAGTTTAGCGTTGAGGTTAGGTTAAGGAAAGATGAGGGTCGGAGTAGGGGTTCCGCTGACCCAGATTAATACATTTAGAGAATGCGGAAAAATTGCTATATCGACATTTCAATCCAAGACTGTGAGGTAATTTTGTCGCACATCAGAGAAAGGTTTCCTGTGCGACACTTGTGTGCCTATTTTATTCACAATTTTCATAAACAGGTGGCAATTTGTATGCAAAAGTCCCCTATTTCACGTGATTGGTGCGTTCAGGATCATTTGTTCGTTGATATCTAATTGTGCTTAGAATTTAACTTCATCTTTGTATTCTACCTATCCTTCTTTACTGCCCTCCTTTAATGTTTCCCGGGCTACTTAACGAACACTTTGTTACTTTGCGAAGGGTACAAAAATCTGTCAGTAAGACGAGTAGGGTTCAGTAAATCACCTTAGTAATTCTGTTACAGATAGATACTTGAACTCACACAAAAAAGTGAATGAATGGATGATAAATGTCATTTCGTCGGGCTCTCAGCAGCCACCTTACACATAAGTCTCCGTTTGATTCTCATCAGGTAGAACTAGGAGGGGTTATAGGAGACTTTATCCTCACATCATTAGGTATATAACCTTTTTGGTATCTCAGAATGGAACACATTTTGTGAGGTGAGAAAATTGTTAGGCATAGAACTGTGCGTCGATGGCACAGTGGTTAGGACTCTCGCCGACCATGCACATGGTTCGAGGTTCGATCCCCTGCCGACGCACACCTGATATCTATGGGCGGCCTGCAGAATTTGAGCTACCGATATCCATGCTGAAAATTCCATACTTAGACCAAAAACACGTTGCTTCTCTGCTAACAATAACGAATAATAATATACATGAAAATCTATAAATAGCTGTTGATTTTGTGAATAAACCATCTGTTGCCTGGCCTTTGTCTTCTGTCGTTACACTACTGCTACAATAATAGAAGTACTTTACCCCAAAATACATGAAAGTTCCGTTGTTACAGATTGTTCGTAGTTCTTTAGAAATTTAGTACGTGGTTAATAACTGCTAAGGATGTCCGTAATTTGAAGACTCATATACTCCCTAAAGTTGCTGGATGGTTGGAAACTGTCGACAGTAAACAGTTTACCTATGATACATCCTTGTTGCAGCTCACCAGTCAGTAAGGCATATCTTCAGTCTTGAAGGAAGAACTTATGTCTGTCGTGTAGGCTTCAAACCTTGGTCATCCAGTGCTGCTGTCGGAGAAGTTACCAATGAGTTATTCAGGTTTGCAAGTAGCCATCTGTAGGACTGTAACGGATTTTTTGATTAGACATTAGGTATTAATTACTGTCACACATCTAATCTTTTGTGTTGGTGCCAAATGAATTCCATTGGTCAAGTTTACAATCTGGTCGTCATTCTAAGTGGCTTGCCATCATGGTGCACTCTGAATTGTTGGTATTTTTCTTATTTTTTATTCCTTCACGTTCTCAGTGGAACATAAGATTTCAAGCTACAGGCTTGAAGTTTCTGTAGCAATGGTGATCATTTTTACAGGATGGGGTTGCTAGCCTCATGTCCAACCTTCCCTCTTTGCCAGTTCTCTTACGGGCTTAGCGAAATAAAGGAGTGCGTCCACCGGGAATCGAACCCCGAACCACCTGCTTGGTCAGAGAGCACTCTTTCACTGTGCCACCGACGCACTGAATTGCTGGTATAAGATGGATGATATCATGAAATAAACTGCGAAGAATGTTCATCAGTAATTAATTTACACACACACACAATCATAGGAAATACATAAAACAAATGCCTAAGTTGTATATTATCTGACAGTAAGAAGATAGTTATTTCCCTTTTATTTTGAAGTGGCTGTGTTCTCTGAGCTGGATGATTAATTTGCGAAGCTTTCATCACCCCACCACTAGGCAACATCTTAAGCGCGTACTTCAATTTGAAGTAAGCTTTTAGATTTCTCCATTAGTTTATTAATCACCTCTCCCTCTGACCTTGGATGTGATTGGTTGCTTTTGTGTGTTTTCACACCTTCTAGGTTACTTGTATTTGAACTGATTGTTTCTGTGACTTGAACTTTGACCCTTTGTGTCTGAAGTTTCTTTCTTATTGGTTGATAAATTTTGTCTATCTCGAAGTGTCTATTGATTGGTGGTTCACTTGAATACCAAGCGGGCTTCTGAAAATTCTCTAGCATTCTTGTTGTTTCCTCTGTCTAGTATTTGAACGTTGTCCCAGTTGAATTGATGTCCGTGGTTGTCTGTATGTAGTGAGGTGATATGAGGGAGTGGATATCATGTCTTTTGACGGCTAGCTTATGTTCGTGGATACGGAGACGAAGGGGACGTCCCCGAAACAATGAATATTCCCGAAATTTCATCAAAAAACGTATACCCCCAAGCCAAAACATCAAACCGAAAGCCCCCAAGGATAGCACAAAACAAATCGCCCTTCCATATATAGAGGATATCTCAGAAATCACTCTGAAACTCTTCACACCTTTAAGAATCGACGTCGTACACAAACCAACAAAGTCACTTCACTCAGTTCTATATCAACCAAAAGACTCAACAACGAAGGAAGATAAAACCAAAATTATCTACAAAATAAATCATAGCAACTGTGAAAAACATTGGCCAAAGTGAACGACCCTCTTTTTCGTCTCCGTATCCATGAACATAAGCTAGCCGTCAAAAGACATGATGACATCCACTCCCTCATATCATATCTATTTCCTCTATAAAACGAAACAACATATGATCCATTTAAGCATTTGATGTCTTTTACTTAACTAATCACCAGAACTCACTAATATCTAATTAACTCATATCGATTCAGACCTCCTTTTACGAACAAAGTGTTGATACCTCAATGTAGATTCTGTCAGGGATTCAGTACGTGAATCCCTAACAAGCAGACAACGTTAGACAACTGTTTCGTCCTATGTCTTTACAAGGTGTCGAACTAGGAACATTCAGGTTACACAGTTAGCCAATTGACCATGGTTCAAAATTCACTGAAGCATGAATTCTAACTTGTATCGATTCCCCATATAACACTACCGTCATTCAATATCATCAGTGACTGTACACTTCACCTCCAAAATAATGGATCCCACCGGCCCTGACTTCTTATTTTAGAACTTCTGGACATCCATCCTACAGCCATTAACAAGCTTGAGATTGATATTAAGATTATAGGTTCTACAGGGATTTGGATTGATTACATTATGGATTTTGTCACAAGCCAACATCACTTGAGGGAAACATTGAAAAACAAGGAGTATTTGACAACACTTTAACGGTGTGAGCTCATGACCTCATCAGAGATAAAACTCATGATTTTACAAGTTGAAAACCCAGCATTTCAATAAAAGTGGAAGTGTTCCAAATTGGTACAAAATCTATTATCTGAAAGTGTTAATATGTTTAGTTGACAAGTGTAATATGTATGTACACAAAATTAATTCACTCTGTAGTAAGTGATTGGTCAATAATGAGCGTTTCTGATTAATCCTGGAATACTTGACGCGTGTAACTTTAAGTGAAATTCCCAACACGCATAATGTGCATTTACCTCATCACTTGGAACTTAGATAATTTATTAGTATGACGTGAAACAAACATGCATCGGTAGCATAGCGATTAGGACGCTCGTCGATCATGCACATGGTCCGGGATTCGATCTCCGGCCAACACACTCCTTTACCTTGCTAAACCAGAGATAATGCTGGTAAGGAGAAAAGGTCGAGCATGAGGCTAGCAAACCCATCCTGTAAAATAAACACTGCTACAGAAACTTCGAGCCTTGTAGCTTGAAGCTCTATGTTCCATTGAGGAGAACGTGAAGGAAAAAAATATCTGAAATAGTAAGAGTTGTCAAACTGACTGTACAATACTTGTTTAAGAGCAGCAGGAGTATCCGTTATATATGTAAATATATATGAAAGATTTCCTTTGTTTGCTAACTGCTGGTAAACTAAAGTTCAGTATCAATTGTAATAAATAACTAACTAATCCTCCCTCAAAGTGCATTTAGAACCCTTCGGCTGATGCCTTTTACTGATTTAAGCAATTGATGAGTATTCCGATGATAGTATTTTGGAATAATTTCCACTGTTGGATTTTCGTCACAAACCAACATCCGTTAGGGAGATAACTGAGATAGTAATGGAGAGCTGTTTCTTCCTGTTTCGCAAGTACTCAGCAATACTACAAACCCACGGCCCCAACTGAGATCAAATCCAGTATCTACAGGTAACGAAACTAAGCCTGTTGACAATTCAATCACTTGAGGTGGAATTCAATGACCCATGAATTCAAACTTGCTTGGCTTGTGATATACCTCTGCCCTCAGCAATGCCTTCAATGAGCATCCACTAAATCTAGACACAGTAGTCTCCACTAGTCAGGTCTTTCCAATGCAGCTTTGGGATATTCATTTAGTAGTACTCATGAGGTGTTGCAAAAGAGCAGAAAGCGGCTTTCCAGTGTTTCATAGTCTTAAATATTCCTATAACTGATTTTGGTTTGTGATGAAAATTTAACAACTGAAGTTAATGAGTGGCCTGAACAAATATGCCTAAATCTCCCTTAACAGGGCATACAGTCGGTAAGGGATTAAGGTTGAACACCAGCCCAGCATTTCATTCCACACTTCAAGTAATATGTGCGTGCGTGTGAAGAAAGAATACATAAAGTTTGTAGACGTAATTCCTGTTAGCTTTACATTTATTCAACTGAATAAACGTTGTACAAGTTGTAGATGAATTCCTTTTGCATTATTCTATTTAGGCATGTAGTATACTGTGATGAACTTCTTCCACGACTATAGTGAATGAAAAGAAAGCATTCTTTTGGTAATTAACATACTTACACATTCCTTTGGCTCTACATATCCATCCGGTCTTTGATTTTGATGCTGACATGATTCTGTGCATTTCATTCAGCATACTTAAGTTAAGTGTAACTGATTCCTTGGTACTAATTAGCCTAAACGTATATCAGTGATTGAATAATTTACACACACGCACACATATTCATCGGTTATTTGCTACCATTTATTCTATTGTATTCAGTGACAGTTATTCTAAGTAACGCATACCGTTGTTACTATTATTATTATCATCATCAAGCAATCGCCAAATAACAACAAATATGCAGGAGAAGGTGGAGATGGATTGGACACTGGCTCGCTGAGGAGGCCGCTGGGTGACATCGCACGCGCGTCAGGCAGTTGCTCGAGTGGAACCAGGCCGAAAGGAGAGAGGCGAGTGGGACGTTCATGCGAGAGTGACATGGGGAGATGGTGTGAAGAGGAGTTGAAAGAGTATGGACTAATATGGATGCAGGTGAAAAGTACGGCAGAAGGAAGACAGAAGTGGCAAGTGGAGACGTGAAGTTGAAGCCCTATGTTCCACCAGGAACCCAAGGTAACAATGAAAAAATAATAAAATATTTTCACATTGAAAATCAAAGAATTGTAATTTATATTATTAAACGTGAAAGTATTAAACACAAACACATTATAAGCATTTACCTTTCCAATACTTGAAGTATTGCATGTGCTATTCACAATATTCATCATTGCCACACTGGTATTTAGATAATTCTCCGTAGTATTACTTTTGTATGTGCATGTTTCAATGGTTAGCGGATTTATCAGTGCAAGACTTATGGTATTGGAAAGAGCGGCGGCTGTTTTTTTAGGAGTAAACAGAGAAGAGAAACAAAAAGTGAATAAAGATCAAATTAAATGCGGTCAGTATTCAACAAGTAGCTGTAATCAATCAAGTATATTTGACGATTTTATGCCAATTTTACAACAGCTATACACTTGAATAATGTCTACAAATCTATTTATCCATTTAGACATTTAAGCGAGAAGTAGTCATACATGAAAAGATATGGGATATAAACATGCTTGATTTCCAGCTTTTGCCTAAATAGCTTTAGACGCAGTCTAGTCAAGACTCTGTACTATAGAGCGAGAAGAATATGCCCTCAAAGGTTGATCAGTAAGTATGGAAGATCTGAAGTCACCAATGGTAAAACAAATCACAGTGGGTAAAAAGCCAATCTACTTTCAGCTTGATTATAAAGGTGAAAACATCGCAGCGATAATCAACAGAAGGCTGAGTATATCACTAGCCGTGGCCTATCCTGCAACTAAGCTCGTTCCCGTCTACCGAACAACTTGCTCTTTGGTGCAATCAAAAATCGATAGATATCCTTTTCATGTTAACTCCAAATGTATATACAAATTTACATGTACGTGCGGGAGCAGTTACATTGGAAGAACAAAAATAAAGGTATACCTCCGATTTTCTGAACATGTACCAAAAAGCTTACGTATAAAGGGAACAAATGCTTTTAACAGTGCCGTTGTCAGACATCTCCTCGACACGGGTCATGAGGTGGACTTCGAAAAGTCATTCAAAATTATCAAGAGGCGAAAGAGCTCAATTCTCCTTAAGTTTGCTGAAACCATTTCCATCAAGCGCCTGAAACCTGATTTATGCGTCCAGAAAGAAGCGGTTATCAGTCTTTCTTTGCCCTCGTAACTGAATATTTTCATCTGTCTTTCATTTGAATGCGTAATGCTGAAAACTTTCTACTGTGTATGATTATTGTTGTTCGGAGTAATGTTTAATATATATATATATATATATATATATATATATATATATATATATATATATATATATATATATATATATATATATATATATATATATAATTACCGTATGCATATACTGACCGATTGATTTTTGCTTAAAATGACCTCTGTGCAAGTATGTCAAAATTGTTTTCGTAGATATACACTTAACAGTGTCTTTGACCTGTAAGCAGCTGACGAGAAGGCAACGACATAAAAGATGGTACCACTTTATTCTGCTAAGAAGCTGTAGTTCTTGCTTTGTTCGAATTTCAAGGAATCAACTACTTCGAAGCTGTTATTTAGAAGGTAAGTTATATGACTCAATTCGCCTTGTTGTTGTTGTTATTGTTGTCGTTGTGTATTCTAGCCACATTCTATTTCATGAAAAAAGCCATGATATACTACTGATAGACTGTGATAACAACACTGCATCATTCAGGTTCTGCTTCAGGGCCTTGACCGAAATGCCATTGAAAGGTCTTGTCAAAGAGTGTCCAGTTCACCTCCATTTTTTTCTTCCGACATATTTTTTGGGAAATAGGTTGTCGGTTTGTTCAATTCCTGAAATTCCTGTTCCTTATCCTCTTTGACTGGAAATTTGATCTTCAGTCCTGTGGTCTGTTGGAAATGCTTTTCATTAGGTGCACGTCAGTTGTCTAAACCATATAGAAGAACTTCATGATGAGTGAAGCAGGTTTTCAAAGTGATCTCAAACTGAGGAAGGCCTATCTTGCCTTTCTAATCGAGACTGGTTTTAATATCTTCATCTGTTTCGCCGCTAGTTGAAATCATACTGTTGTTGACAATGGTTTGTGCCTGTCAATGTTGTTTGACAATCTTCATCGTCTCTGTCTTTTCTGGGTCTACTTGAACTCATGTCTTCGCTGTCTACCATTTCTTCCAAATTGTTGATTTTCGTCTGTTGGTAAAAAATAGCTTTAAGTACTCATTTTTGTACTCTTACACACTTAATTATTTGTTTCCTCAGATGAAACCTCCATATTAGTTTTTCTATTAAATGTATCACACAGTGAAAGAGTATAATTGTTTTACTGAATGACGTTTCGAACAAAATTTATTAGTCATAATCATATGATCAATTATAATCACACGACTTTGAAACTTGATTTTCACAGTTCTCTTTCTTTTCCCCTATTTGTCGTCGTTGTGGTAATAGAATTCTCCAGATATCCAGGTGGAAAGGTGTTGAATCATTCCTATTACATGTATTTGCAGTTAATTCAATAAAAAAGCTCCCGTTAACAATCTCTCCCTCCACCCTGTTGCTGCATTAGATTTTGAAACTGTCATCCTATTCCATCCAACCGATTGAGTGGTTGTCTGTAACTGCATGTAGTGAGTGCTATAGCTGAACTATTCTCTAGAATTCTTATCTTACTCGGGTCAACCAATCTAGATTTTGCTGCTAGGCTTTTATGTTCGGCTAGTCTGACTGCACCTGTTCTACTAGTTTTACCTATGTATTTGACCTGATAATAATTGTAGGTAGGGCATTAGATAAACTAAATTGTTTTGTTTTAAAAGCTCCACAGGATTGATCCTTTAACTGACAAAGCTTGTTTCTAATTGAGTTTGTGGATGGTTTGAATATCAGCCACATTTATTCCTACCCGGATTGTTAATAATTCTGCGTAAGGTTTCCGAGGTTCATTCCTTGTATGGAATTACTGCTTATGGTTTAGATTCCTTATTGTTGGTGTTGTCATTATCGCGCGCATATCTGACACGCACGTCGTCATTAATATTATTAGCCGAAGACATTGGCTAGCGTTCTCGCTATGTCGTGAATTGGCAGAAGTTAGAATTCAAGGACCATTGGATCGGGTCCCAGTGGCTTAATGGTACACGAGCTCGCCTTGTAACCGGAAGGTCCTGGGTCCGAATCCCGGTGGGTGCGTACTGATGAAGAGTCCCAAACTAGGATGAAACAGCTGTCCAGTACTCTCAGGTTTTCCAATGGTTCTCTAACTAATGTCAGCTCATGATGAAATCCTGAAACCAATCAAATCCCTACAAACCAACACTTGAATATAGGATTTTAATTACAATACACAACAATTTACCAATCAAGTGGCGGTATGTTTGTTAACAATAATTAGTCAGTGTCAAAATGTCAATGGGATGATAATTAACGAAGAAAAATTAATATGTATAATTAAAAGGTGGAAATGGTTACAACAAGTGGATTGCATAATGCATAATTTTGGAAAACTGAAGAGCAATTAAGAAATAAGCATGTGCACAGGTTAGTTATAAATTATCATTGTCCAAATTGTTTTATTTTCTTTAACAATCTGTTACATAATCAACCTGCGCACACGCTTATTCCTTAATTGCTCTTCATTTTTCCAAAATTATGCATTATGCAATCCACTTGTTGTAACCATTTTCACCTTTCATTTTTATTTATTTTTGATTTTTGATTACAGCTTGATTCCACACTGTATTTTTGGTACAAGTGTGAAATTTTCAGCGTGGATATCGGTAGCCCAAATTTTGCAGGCCGACCATAGATATCAGATGTTCGTCGGCAGGGGATCGAACCTTGGACCACGTGCATGGTCGACGAGAATCCTAACCACTGTGCCACCGACGCACAAACAATAGGAGGCGGTCTCCATGCGCGGACCGGGCTGTCACATGGCCACCATTCACAGGCGCCATCCCTCTACCGCATCACGCGGGGACTTTTGCCTGCTGGGTTTCCCCCTGGGCCGGTGCGCCCCTCCTTAGTCAACCTGGACAACCCGTCCTCCGACAGGTCATCCATATCGGCACCGTGCTTAGCGTGGACGCCCGATCAACGTGAGCAGCCATATGCCAGAACTCCCGGTCCCGCGAAATTCCGCATATAAATTTTTCTTCGTTAATCATCACCCTATTGACATTTTGACACTGACTAATTATTGTTAACAAACATACCGCCACTTGATTGGTAAATTGTTGTGTATTGTAATTAAAATGCTACACGTTTATATTTGAGTAGAGCCAGAGTGAGATGAGGATCTAATTGAAAAGTAAATATTTCTTCGCTCAATCTTTCTCTTATCCAAGTAAAGCGTAGTTTTAAGCGCTACTGAGAGCGATGAGAAAAATAAAATTGTTTTGATTATGTGGTTCGCGTATGCAGATTTGGAGTTTTGTTTGATTGTAGACTGGTATTAACAGTGATTGTTGATAGCTCTATATCAAGAATTGATGACTAAGTTAGAGCTCGGTGGTCACTAAATTTTTGCCTAATTGGCTGAAAAGTTAACGAGCTTGTCATCATTACCTGATGGTCTGTGTTTTGATCGCAGGTAGGATCATAGTGGTGTACTGTTGCAAAGCCCAAAAGTAGGACGAAAAGGTTGTTCAAGGTTTTCTTGTTCTTTCCATCATTTATATTGACAGTGACAGCTTCTGTGACTGGGTATCTGACCATTTTCTTTATTGGTTGATAAATCTGATAAATCTTTGTTGGCATATCTGCTAAGTATGTATGGATCTGCTTATCAAGCGTTAAGGAATTCACTGGCAATTGTAGTATTTCCATAGTAGAGAATTTTTGGATTTCTTATTCAAACTGGCATGCGTAGTTATGCACACGTAACGCTGTGAAGGTAAACAAATAGTCTCTTTTTACCACTGGTTTACACTGTTGCATGTAAAACAGAAGGGGGTATCCAGTATAGTATTTATCACAGTTGACCTTGTCTTCCTGTGTGTGTGTGTGTGTTCCATATTAGTAAATGTGTTAGTGACTGTGATGGTTTGTGTGTGTGCGTGTGTGTATGGAATATCCACTGCAAACTGTGTCATTATTTTAGTAATGTCTGCATGATCAGAAATCCCAGTATGGACTTCCTTTGTGATATTTCATTTAATTAATTTAATTTTATTCTTATTTGCCTTCTCAATGGAACACAAGGCTTCTATCTAGAGACTTGAAGTTTCAGTTACAGTGATGTTTACTTTTACGCGTTGGGATTGCTAGTCTCATTCCCAATCTTCGCTCTTTTCCGGACTTATTACC